CCCAGAATGGCTCCAGAGCAGTGCAGGCAGGAAGCCCAAGTCGGGAAGAAGATAGTGAAGATGGGCTTGCCCAGTTGGTAGGTAACTAAAATAAAGACCAAGGGCAGAGGCGCTGTCGGGAGCCTGGAACCATTGCAGGACCAAGGTCAAAGGAGGCTGTAGGTCAGACCAGAGCAAGGCTGGCTTGGGTGGGAGGCCAGGGTACAGCAGTTGCCCAGCCTCTAGCAGGAGAAGGACTAGGGCAGGAAGGGCAGGGCAGACACCTGAGGAGCCAGGACTATGCTCGGACATCCTGCTCCATCCCTGCTCCCCGCCTCCCTCAACCCCAGTGCCTGGCCTTACAGGTCTGCACCGACCCATTGTGTTCCCATGGAGCCACAGACTAGGGGCAGAAGCACATCCTCAACACTAGGAACCTGGGAGGTGGATGATGGCAGCAGAGATGTGACGAGTGACAGGCGCTTCCCCCACCTTCCTCCCAGAGGAAGACCTCATCCTCACACACCATCCTGCCAGACCTCAAACCACCCACCCTTCTCCTCTCCAACCCCTCACTCTCTTCCTGGCCATGACACAGCCTGACCCTCAGGTCCCATCTGTGGGCAAGGCTGATGTCTCACTGTCACTGAGGGCAAACAAGGTCCCGTCTGACAAAAACATTCACAAACGTGCTGCTTGAGCAGGAGGCAGTGAGTTCCCTGTCCTCTGAGAGATTGAAGCAGAGCCTGCGCGACTCACTGGGATTTCACAGAGGGGGTTCTGACGTCCCTTGGCAGTTGGATTCAATGACCTTTAATGTCACCCTTGAGAAGTTATGAATCTGCAAGTTCAAGCAATGTTCCCCATGATAGAGCAGGACACAAGCCTTCTGCCCGCATGGCCTGGAGTTCCCGGAGTTCAGAGTCACTCCCTGGGGGCACACATTACCTTCTGTCTCCAGAAGGTCCCTGTGCAAGTATGCTTTAGCAGAGCAGGAGGCGCCCCTCAGCCCACCCTGTTTGACTGAGACGCCGTTTGCAGAGTGATTAACGGTTTCCGTGGAAGGCAGAGGAGCCCAGCTCAGTTCTGATGGAGCTGTGTGGGCGCCATAGGGAAGGAAGCTCCCCTGCCCTGTCCTGACCGGCAAGACCAAGGGTTAGGGGAGACCCCTCAGCAGCGGGCACTGCCCACGTCCTGGCCGGGTCATTGGTGCGGATCACTTAGAATCTGGGGGCCAGGAACGAGAGGGGGAGATAGGACCTTCCAGCCTGGCACGGAGGCCCTGAGAGGACAGTTAAGGGAGGGGACTCTCAGAGAGACAGTCACCAGTAGAGGAACTTGCACAATCTGTCAGGATTTCACAGCCCCTGGTCCGGAAGGAAATGAATGTCAGAGAGGGAGGCGAAGACTGGGTTCCTCAGTGGCACTGGGTCCCAGACCCTATCTGGTTGGACTCTGTCCTAGTAACACTCCTCCCAGACCCCAGGGAGCAGAGCGGGCAGGTGTCCAGACACCCCCACAGCCACCCCATCGCAGCCTTCCACTCAAAGCTTCTCCCCCCTGGGCTGATAAAGGCTTTCCTTCCTTTGCTCCCCCTTCCTCACTTCCTTTGGAGAAGGGACAACTCCTTGCTGGTTTGGGACTGTCTTTGCCACACTAAGTCACCCCATCGCTGGTGGAGCAGCCCTGTGCCTCGCAAGCATTTGATCAGTGCTCACGGCCCAGTGACTTCTGCCATTATATCCTGGGCTCCCCCTCCAGAGCTGCTGACTTGGAGGGCTGAAGTCTGTTTCCAGCAATGCTGGCATATTCCACAGCCAGAAGGGGGTCAGGCGTGGGCTTCGGGTTGGGGTGGGTATTGATATAGATGGAGTCCTCAGGGCCGAAGTGGTTCAGGTGGTTAAGTGAGGCATAGCAGATGGTCCCAGTGTCCTCGCCAGAGTCTGTCTGCTGCTTAGAGCCCTGGGAATCAAAGAAGACAGATTTCCATTGTACGGATCACAGCTGGGAGTGGTCAGTGGCCCCCGGTGCCCAGAGCTGGGTGGAGGGCAGGGACAGAGATAAGGTGTGGGACAGCGTACGGATCCTGCGGAGCCTCTGGGAATGCCTGACGGCAGCAAGGGCGCCATCACAGGTGCCACCACTGAGCGTGTTTAAGAACAAGAAAGGCGGGGCCGGCCCCGTGGCTTAGCGGTTAAGTGCGCGCACGCCGATACTGGCCATGGCCCACATACAGCAACTAGAAGGATGTGTAACTATGACATACAACTATCTACTGTGGCTTTGGGGAGAAAAAAGGAGGAGGATTGGCAATAGATGTTAGCCCAGGTTTGGTCTTCCTCAGCAAAAAGAGGAGGATTAGCATGGATGTTAGCTCAGGGCTGATCTTCCTCACAAAAAAAAAAAAAAAAGAGAGAGAGAGAAATACATTAAAAAAAAAAAAAAGAAGAAGGAAGGCCTACGCAGAGTGTGGTCTGTGGACCAGCAGCACCGGCTGACCGAGGAGCTTGTTAAAAATGCACAGTCTCAGGCTCCACTCCAGATCTATTTAAGCCAAGTCTCTGGGTGGGGGCGGCCTAGAAAACTCTGTTTTAACAACCTCTCCAGGGGACTTTTGTGCACACTCAAGTTTGAGTAGTGTTGAGCTGGAAGAACTCTCGAAAGAGATGTCATTTGTAGAGAAGATTCCAGCTGTAGAGAAGATTGGGCCAGACAACTCCAGATCCTCCCAATCTTGTGATTCTATGAGCTCAAGAGCCTCAGCTATTTAATAATACAGACTTACCCAAGGGAAACAGCCCCATCTCCAGCCCTTGACGAGAGAGTGCCCTTGGGAGTCACATGTTTTGCCACGTGAGACCTTTGCCCACAGCTTATTGGAGCACTGGCAGCTGAGCCATTGGCTGGCTCATGACCCACGAGATGAGCCCACGTGGAAAGCTGTCTCCAGTGGGAGTGAAGGTCAAAAGCTGAGGCGGTCAACTCTCTCTCTGTCTACATGGTTTGCATTGGGAACTATGGGAAAGGATGCAGGCAGCTGAGGCAGCAGGGGCATGAGGAGTCACGAGTGAGTCCAGGTTCAGAGGAAATAGAAACTATGAGTCAACACAAGCCAGGAAGTTGAATAAGAACCACAAAGGTACCCAGGAAAGCTGAGATTCCCTCTGTCTTGGTGAGCAGTCCTTCCCGGGCACACTGTGCTCTTCCTCCCTGGCTGAAATGGTCTCGTAGTCATGGTGGGATTCGCCCTCGTCTGTGAAGAAAACAGTCAAGGTTGGGGGAGGGACCTCTCCCTACCCCCTCCCGTGAAAATACGGGTGGGGGGTGCTGGAGGTCCCTGATGGGGGAGAGGCCAGGGTTTGGTCAGGGTGCACCATTGTGCTGGGGGAGATGCAGGTGGCCAGCATAGAGTAGTGTCCAGAGATGCTAGGGGCAAACCAAACTGGCTGCCTGTGGCTAATCTGTATAAAAGTGGTAAACTAATCAATTCTAGTCACTGACAGTTCCAAATTTAAACATCAAATTGAAGTATAATCTATTTGCTGATGAAGTTATATATGATGTCTTTCAAAGTTTTTGGACCAGGAACCACAATGTAAAACATTTTCTCTTATTACCGCATACTCAAAAACACACACTCTCTTTCTCTCTCTCACACACACACTCCCAAAATAAAAGTTCAATGAATAAGATACTTATTCTTCCAATGCATGAAGCATTTTGACATGTCGTTTTATAAAAATACTATTGTGTTTTGAAAGGCAAGCCATTTGATCCAATGGTTTGTTATCATGCACTCACAGTATTGATCTGTGAGACTAGTACCGAGATTTTCACTTATACTTAGTTGAATTGGTATGTATTCATTAGAATATAAGCAAATTTTTAAGGGATTGTTCAACTTAAAATCTCTGATTTGTAGGCTAATATATTTAACACCATATGCATAAAACAAGCTTTCTGTTACTGAGTTTTATGTATCATAACTTATCTAAGGTAAGTACATGGCACGTTTTTTGTTTGTGATTACAAACAGGTTAAAAAATGCTCTCTTTAATTGTATTAAAAATATCATTTAATGCAGATTGTTTGAAGCATCTGTCTTCATATGATACCATTAGAACACTATGATATAATAAAAAATTGCCCCAATTAAAAAAAAATACTATTGTAATCCACTAAATCGACTTTACACAGTTTGAAAAATATGTATATAAATTTTTATAACCCACTACTACTTTAGTATTTTTGTAGCTTGAAAAATTAAAATCGATGAGGTCCAATATAACTCTACTCACCTGCTCCCACATTTCAATCTTGTTGTCAACAGACACATCCCTGGGTTACGTGGTTAATATACACCCAGCACTTACGTGCTGAATAGACCAACCGACAAAAATGAGGCAGGAATCATCAAAAGGCACTAATCTCAGAAATCTTGTACGAAATGCTATAGATTTTACATGTGATTAATGCTAAAAACTTAAAACTTGGAAGATTAAAAAGTCCTTCAAGTGCTTTTAGGAAGACAAAATTTAAAGATGATAGCGACAATTAAAAAACAATAACGTTAACCTGAAAGGTCTTTAGATAAATTTGTTAAAAAGTCCGTAACTATAAAAAGATGGCAAAATAGGGGCTGACCCCATGGCATAGTGGTTAAAGTTCAGTGCACGCCACTTCAGTGGCCCAGGTGCACAGGTTCGGATCCTGGGTGTGAACCTACCGCTCAACAGCCGTGCTATAGTGGTGACCCACATACAAAAATAGAGGAAGATTGGCATAGATGTTAGCGCAGGGTGAATCTTCCTCACCAAAAAAAAATTAAAAAAAAAGATGGCAAAATTGGTAATCTCAATATATTCTAGTATGCTCAGTTTTGGGCATATGGGTGCTGAGTTGAAGTGGCTTTGGGCAAGCTGACCTCGAAAGTCAGACCAAAAGACAACTGGTCCATCCTCAGCACCACAGAGCCTGGGAGGAGAGCCCAGGGCACCCTGGCCTCCTCACCTCTCGGCCTCAGTCTCCTTGTTGGTAAAATGGGGTAATAAGCCTTGTCAGCATGAGTTGTGGGCGCCTTATCATGGCTAAGCACTGGGTGGTCTGCTCGGAGCCAGCGACAGGGTTTACCTTTCTTGGCTCTTTCTCGGGCTTTCCTGAGGTACAGGATCAGGAGGAGGATGAGCACCAGCAGCAGCACCACGGCCACCACCACGCCGGAGATGACATCCCAGTGGCCTGCGGGGCTTGGGAATAAGGACCAGCCAGGTGAGGAAAGTCAGAGCCAACCTTCCGCCCAGAAACCATCCCTCGCCCATGTCTGTTATGGGGACAGACCCTCCTGCTGAGCTGGCCACGAGGCAGCACCATGGTCAAGGGCTCTGCCCCATAAGCCATGTAGTCTTGCCATGTCATTCCATCTCGGGCTTGTTTGCTTCCCTGTAAAATGGGGATGTTGATGACGTCTCCAGTCTGCTCCTCTCCCCTGTCTGACTGCCGTCCATTTTTTTTGAGGAAGATTGGCCCTGCGCTAACATCTCTTGCCAATCTTCCTCTTTTTCTTTTTTCTTCCCAAAGTACATAGTCGAGTATCACAGTTGTAGAGTTATAGCTCTGCTATGTGGGATGCAGCCTCAGCATGGCTTGATGAGCGGTGAGTATGTCCACGCCCAGGATCCGAACCGGCATACCTTTGGCCGCCGAAGCGGAACGCGTGAACTTAACCACAACGCCACCGGGCCAGCCCAGACTGCCGTCCCTTAACTTGCCTTCTGGGCCCCTGTTTCGGGATCTGTGCTCACTTCTCCTGCACCTTTCCCTTAACTGTTCTTGTCCGAGCTCCTTAGCCTCAGCCGTTTGTTGTGAGATACAATCAGCTCTCGGAGAATACTGGTGTCATCTGGCAAACAGCTCCGCCACATAGTAACTGCATTTTAATAGATCCCGTTTTGAGTCAAAGGAAGAACACAAAGGTAGATTTTCTAACACCGTAGCAGGCTCCTAGGGAAGGTGCCTGGGGTGTCAAGGGTTAAAGCGGGTGAGGCAGTGGCTCTAGGGACGCCTCTCAGCTCCATTGACCAGCAACACCTGGCTTCTGGTGCAAGGCCTTGAAGAAGGAACTGTGGTTTGCAAGAGCCTAGGGTGACGTCCACAGTGAGGGTGGGTGGAAAGAGGGGAGAGGAGGGCAGAGGCAGGAAGAGAAACAGCTAGCCGGCCAGTCCCAGGGGCCAGGGCCTTGAAACCATCAGGCAGGGGTAGAGAAGAAATCAGGCCACGGGCTGTAATAACTACACGGTGCGCCCCTTCCCTGGAGCCCCGTGGCCCTGGGACAGCTCCCCTGCTCCTACTGAAAGAAAGAGAAGGGCTGGAGGTGAGGAAGAGGAAAAAGAAGCCCTGCTCACATGTCTGGCACGGGGTTCTCTGAATCCACAGTCTCATTTAATCCTCACCACAACCCTGGAAGAGGGTGGTTCCCAAATGGGGTGGCTGTGCCCCTAACGAGAACTTGGCAATGTCTGGAGACATTTTTGGTTGCCACGACTGGGCGATGTGGGGAGGTTTGTGCTATGGCTGTCTAATGGGTAGAGGCCAGGGATGCTGCTAAATATCCTACAGTAACAGGACAGCCCCTCACGACAAAGAATTATTTGGCCCCAAATGTCAATAGTGCCAAAGGTAAGAAACCCCGATGTAAGGTGGGAATGTTATTGGCCCTGCTTTGCAGATAAGAACACTGAGGCTCAAAGAGGTAAAGTGACCCAAAGCAACTGTCTGACTCCCATTCATCCCCTGAGAGCCGGGGGTCTGTGGGAACGTGGTGATTGGAGGCAGTTGGTAAAGTCGGCAGTGGGTGGGAGGAAATGGAGGGCTGAGAGCACAGGGGAGGGGGTGACAGTACCTGTCAATGACAGGGATGATGGCAGAGGTCCAGGCTGTGGTCCTCCTGGTGCTCCTGGGGGGGGGACAGGGTTGAAGCTGTAAGAGACAACAGTGAGGGGAGCGCTCCTGTCTGTTTGCCCCACACCCTAGGGCTCCCCACTTCTAGCCCCCGACCCTGGGAAGGAGGAGCCCACACATGGCCCTGGACAAGGTGAGGTCTCTGAGAAGCACCATAGGCCCTGCAGACACATGGAGGCGTGCTGGATTTCCTTCACAGTGAAACACCACAGTGCACATGGCTTTAGGTTAGGTATCACACCGGCACTTGTATATCGGATATATTCTGCAGTCTCTTCTGTTTTCATTTTTTTGAACATGCACTCTCCATCTGTAGTGCCTCCCTCTCAACCCCTGTTGCTCCCCTGGATAAATTCCTGCTCATCCAACAAGGCCCACGTGATGTCACCTCCTCTGGGGAGTCCTCCAGGAGAGTCTAAACCTCTGTCCTTCTCCAGCAACCTGGTCCCTCCCTTCACTGAGGCTCCATCCAGTGCGCTTCTGTTATGCCACCTCCCACCCTGCATCGTAACCCTTTATCTGTGTGTCTGTCTTCCTGGCTGGCCTGTGGGGTCTTCCAGCACAGGAGGGGGTCTCAAAGTTTTGATTCCCCTTCCAGAGCCTAGCCCCGTGCCCTACATGGAGTGGGCAATGAGCCAAGGCTTGGGCAGTGAATGAGGGAGCAATTGACCTGGATCCTCCAGGTGCCCTGCTGACCAAATGGCTGGGCAGGCTTGGCAGCAGGGCCGGGGTCTGGGAAGGTGCACTTCAAGCGCCGACCATCATAGAGAAACTCAGGGGGGCCTTGCAACCCTGAAGTTTTCAGGAGGAATATCCGGGGGCCCCGGGTTAGGGGTAACCCCAAACTTCCCATTCTCAGGCTTAAGGTCTCTCAACTATTAGGGGCAGGTCCAGGGTGAGGACCCAGACCCTCTGAGCCCTTGGTCACCACACGTCCCAGCCTCACCGCTGAAGTCTCAGGTCTGCCTCACCATCTGGCCATCTCCTGTCTGTCCACATTTCTCGACCTCCACCCAGTTACCTGTGACCCATCTCGAGCACAGCCCTTTGAGAGGAGGTTAGGGGTTCGGTCAGGGGTAGAGATGCCTGGGAATGGGCCATTAAGCCAGTCTTGCTCAAGCCTGAGGAAGCTTTTGACCATTACAAATCAGTGGAAGAGTCCTGTTAGTAGCAACAGAAATGTTCGAAGAAATGTGTGTGATGGGGAAGGAAGAACCAACCGAAAGCCGGCAGGTCTGAGTTTCGGTGCTGGTTCTGCCCTGAACCCGTAGGAGACCTTGGGCAAAAGGCCCCAGTTTTCAGCTATGAGAAGGTTGAAGGAAAAGATTTTTAGGGTCCTTTCCAGCTCTAACAGCTTGTGATTCAGTCTGAGAACTACACATAAGAAGGGAAAGAACTCACCCTTAGATACCACCAGATGGATGGCTCTGAGACGCAAGATCCTGGAAGACTCGCTAATTCCACACCAATAGGTTCCCGAGTCCTCTACCCTGAGCTCAGTCTTGGTGACAATGAAGTAGCCAGACCTGGGGTAATCCTGGATGGAGTGTCGAGGCACTTTCTGGAAGTTGGTGACTGTTTCATCACAACTGTATACTGATATTTTCCTACACCAGATTTTCACCTTGTTTAAACCTTGCCAGGGCTGGTACGGGCATCTCACAGACATCATCTCGCCCTCCAGTTTATGCAGCATCTCTGGCTTCTGTTCCCAGGAGCCTGAGAATAAATCCTCAGGTCAGTGAGCCCCCCAAGGGCCACTGCAGGCCCGTGAGATGGCGCCTCCCTCCTCAGGAGACCCCTCTTTGTGTCTGCATCCAGAATGTGCCCCAGAGCCGGCCTCTGGCCGCAACACCAGCTGCCCCCTGCCCTCCCCTCTGCAAAGCCCCCTTCACACCCATCTCACCTAGCCAACTCCCCTCCTCTTGCCCTGCTCCCTTCCCTCTGCCCTCCTCCCCTGCCCCTCACCTGAGGCCAGGAGCACCAGCAGGACAGGTGGCAGCAGGTATGTGGCCTCCCAGGCCATGGGCCCTCTTGTTGAGCTGGGGTCAGGGGACGGAAGCAAGGGAGCAGAGAAGCCCCTGAGGAAAGGGAGCCAGAGGGAGGGATTCAGTGCAGCCACCCCAGTCTGCCTGGGAAAAAGAGCTGAGGGAGGCAAAGGCCTCCGAGAGAGAGTGCGAGGCCTGGGGAGGAGGGGGAGGCCTTGATCTATAGGCTGGACCCTCCAGCTGCAGACGCTACATCTAGGCCTGGAAAGGCCTCAGCCCAGGACTGGACCGAGTCTCCAGGGGACTGTGTAGCTACTGCTCAGTTGTCTTCAGCTCAGCCTCTTCCCCCTGGTCAGGCCTTTTCCCTCCCACTGGGGTTGGGGCGGGGAAAGCCCAGGAGGAAACTATGGTGAAATAAGAACTATTTCTTCTCGCTCTTACTCCCCTCTGTTCTGCTCCTTCCTCCCCAGCTCACCAGAGCCCAGAGCCCCACTGGTCCCCAGCGGTCAGAGACTTCCTGCCCAGGCCTACCTGGGAACTGGGAAATTCCGTGGGGACTACAGGAGAAGAGGAGAAAGGAGATGGAGAGTCATTGCCAGCAGTGGAGGTGCAGGGAAGGTCCCTGGCAAGGGTGGGAGAGAGCAAAGCTGGAGGCACAACCGTCAGAGGGGGGAGAGGAAGACAGGTGCAGAAGGCGGGAAGAGGAGAAAGGGGTATCTCCCCACCCAGGTCACCCCGTGTCTCCAGCTCCCAGCCGGCCATAATCACTCCACAAGCATCTGTTGATAGACCACACTAATCGAGCACATTTAAAAAGATAATTGCTATTAGATTAGCTGCAGAAAAACAATGGTCACAGGCTATTTATAGTTGATAGATAAACAACAAAGAAAAGGAAAAAACCCTGTAAAAATGCAGTGTAGCAGGTCAGAGCAGACTGAGATGGAGGTTAGCACAGGAGGTTCAAAGTGCTCAGAGACCCCAGGACAGCAAAGGGAGAAGTTGGGCTGCCCTGCGCCCACAGGAAGCTGGGCCACCTGCTGAGGCGTTCTGAAACAGGATACCCTCTGGGACTGCCCCAGGTGACAAGAGGGTGCCGGCTCCAAGACCCCTGGGTCAATTGGCCAGGGGGCTGGGGCAGTGGGCTGCCCTGGGAGAGGGTCTGCCCTTGGCAAGGCCACTGTCTGCAGCCGAAGCAACCCCCAAAGGGGGCTGGCAGAGGAGGCCTCCCACGCTCTCTGCTCCCAAAATGGGGGCAAGCAGTCCACCAGCTGGAGGGGGAGCTGGGCAACACAGCCTAGTGTCCACCGACCCAGTGTGATCCAGAGTGAAGAGCACATTTTGCAGCCATTTGGGAAAACTATGAACCTAAGGCTTGCTGGCTGGCCTCACGGCGGGAGCACATGCATCCTGTGGCGACAGATCCGCCTGCCGGGCTCCGCAGTGCAAACTCCCCGTGGGTGCTGGGTGGTCTTTATTTGTTCTTTCCCTTCGTCACGACAGGAAGCCCGTCACAGGTATGCTCCGTCGTCTCAGCCTGCTGCTCAAGAAGTTGTGTTGCCTCACCCACTAAAGGCAGCAGCAGCCTGGGCCTGTCTGATGCCCCCCACCTGCCCTGCACCTCCCTGCCCTAGATCTGCTGGGGCTCCAGGGCCCCCTGGAGCTCCGGGGAGAAGGATGAGAACAGGAAGGAGGGAGTGAGAGGCTGGGGTTTGAGGGAAAATGCCCCGAAGGCCTGGAGGTCCAAAGACGCCACCCAGGCCCGTAGGTGCTGGGGAGCCGGGTCATGGGGTCTGTACCTCTTTCTCAGCTCCCTGTGTTGTTGCCATGGACTTCACATGGGAGCAGGCTCCGTGGGTGAGCAGGTTCACCGGTTCTGGGAACCCCTCCTCTTGGGCAAACAGGGACGGTTGGTCCCTAAGAGCTACCCTGCCTAACATCAGGGCACGGCCACCTGATGCCCGACCTCGTGCCCCTCCACCCTCCCTAATGCCTTCCAATTGAGGACAAAACAGAGAAATAGGGTCTGAAGGTCTTAAATGTAGAATGTGACAAACAACGTTAGAACTGGAAAAGAACACAAGGACCGACAATCATGAGGCATTTACTTAGTTGCATAAGGTTCATGTTATTTCGTTTTATTCTGCAAACAGTCTTGAGAGGGAGGAATCAGTTTCCCTTTTCACAAGAGAGGAAAAATTAGGCCAGAGAGAGTTGGTGACTTGCACAAGGTCACAGTGACAGGTGGCCTCACTGGTCCCAGTCCTGAGCCCTCTGTAGCGCCCTCCCACCCGACACCCTGCTCTCAGAAGACGTAGGGCTGTCAGCGTGCTGTTGTGGGATCACAACGGAGGGGGGCTGTCAGAGAGATATTTTCTGCCAGGTGAGTTATGCCCCCTCCTAGTCATACACCAGGTTGGTGGCCACACCCTCCTGATAGGGAGGACGGATAGATGTCACTGTGTGTGGATGTGTGTGTATGTGTCTGTGTGTGTGTGTGTGTGTGTGTCCTGGCGCCAGGCTTCAATCTGAGTATCCCCTTTAGTGCCCTTTCCTGGACATAGGGAAGGGGTGACTCCTCCCTGCTCTCCCCCAGGATTACCCCCTGCCCTTTCTTCTCTCCCCACATCCATCTTGGAGTAGCCCCCCTGGCCCACCAAGGCCCCCAGCTGTGTCACTCTCCTGACTATGACGTTTGCTCTCCCACCTTGGAGGGCCCTGCCCCAGCGCCAAGAGTGGAGACGCCACGTCTATCCCCAGGTGCTTGTTCCAGTGGCTCCAGGCGAGGAATCCAGCCCGTATTCTCCAGCCTTCACTGCAGAGGAGACTGAGTCTGAGCCACAAGCCAGTGAGGCAGGAGCGGACTCCTCAGGCCTTTGGGTCCCTGGCCGAGTCTCCTTGGCTCCATCCGCCCTGTCCCCACCCTGCCTGGGCTGTCCTCCAGGATGTGGTCAGCTCTGAGTTGCCTTTGCTGTGTCACAGTGGCTCCTCTCTTCCCAGGGGACAATGAACCCCGGGGGGTGGGGAGCCACCCTTTCTCTGATCCATGGCCTCTCTCCCAGTGGACTGACTCTGGAGGGTCCTCAGTCCCCTCCAGGAGCTCAGACCTGGAGCGTGGGTGTAGCAACTGGAGGAGACAGCCCTGAGTTCAGCCTGGGGACAGGCTGGTCCTGCAGCCAGGCCTCACACCGCTTTCCGTGGAGGGGCCGGCCAGCAGGGGGCAGCAGTGGGAGTGTGGGCTCTGCTGGCTCCCAGGACTTGAGGGACACGCAGCCGCATCAGGGCAGGGGACATCCAGAGGCCCGTCAGAGGACGCATGGCCCAGGGGGTGGGGGGCTTGGACAGCTCTGGGGTCCCCTGCTGCCAACACATTGGTGGACGCCTAGCTCTTAATCACTGTTCCTTCTTTTCCTCCAGGGCAGGGCCCTTGGGACATTGGCTGCCTCTGGGACCCTTTCTTCCCCAAGCGCATGGGGAAGCTTGAGGGGAGCAGAAGGAAGCTGAGGCAGAGAGTCCCAGGTGGGGAGAAGGCACTGTCCCCCCCTCTGCTCCCCTCAGCTCTACAGTAGGGAGTTCCGAGGCAGACGGGAGCTGAGGTTCTCTGTCTGTAACAGCACCACAGGGCTTCTCTGCCATCCAGCAGGGGCCGGGGTGTCTGCGATCTGAGCAGAGTCCCCTCATGTCTTCTCCCGGGACTTCCTGCCTAGTGCCCTCGCTCTGGGCTCCTCCTCAGGTTCCTGGCAGCCCAGGGAGCTGAGCGGGTGAAGGGCAGCCTCTGGTTCTGGGGAGGCCTGAGTCCAGTGCTCCACAAGTCCTGTCTCCGATCCAGACAGGCCCCCCTCTGCAGTCCTCCTCTGGCCTCCTGGGACCCCTGTGGGAGAAGATCCCCATCCATAGTTAAGTGGCTCCAGACCAAACAGGCTTCCACGGAGGATCCGGTCTTCCGGGTGGGTCCCTCCAGGGTCTAGCAGCATCCCTGCACACGCTGTAACCTGTGAGAATTGAGAGAGAGAGAGAGAGAGAGAGAGAGAGAGAGAGATGAAGAAGGGCGGTGCTCCTGCTCGCCACGTCCCCCACCCACACCCAGAGCTCCTGGGCTGGTCAAGCCCCTCTTCTGGTTCTGCCTTCCGCTTCCTGCCAGGTCAACCCCGGAGGGTTAGGCTGTGCTGTCCCTGCCTGCCACCCTCCTCCCTTGCCTGGGTCCCTTACAGTCCTCCTGACTGGACACAAGCGAGGACACACTGCTTGGGGACGGAGTGCAGTCGGGCCCTTTGGAAAGCGTGTCACACCCCCAGTGGTCTGCCCAAGGGAGGCTGGGGAGAGGGTGGTGCTCTACTCACTTCCCATGTGTCTCTTCTTCCAGAACCCATAGGCTAGGAGCAGCATCACAGGCACTGGGAGGAAGGTCAGCACCCCCACGAGCACAGTGGGATAAGGATCCTGGTGCCTGAGGAGACAGGACAGAGCAGGGAGGAGGTGAGTACCAGGTTCCCCCACCCCAACCCACATCTTTCTGTGTGCCACGCAAGAGGAGTCAGACCGGGGAAACCCTGATGGCCTCCCTTCCTTGGGGACTCAGCTGTGGGAGAGGGAAAAGAGGTGCTCAGAGGTCAAGGTCAGAAGTCCCCAGGTAGAGGAGAGCATCTCTCCACTCTAGCACTTCTCCTCCATTATTGCCCCAAATCTGCTCATCACTGAGGACAAGGACTCTAAGAGGCCCCCATTTGTGATGGAAGAGACCAAGATTCTTGCTCTCCTCACAGTGACTGAGGATGGCCCTCCCACCTCGTCCTCTGTGACAGATGCTGTAGGGGACCCGGCTGTATCCCCTTGCTTGTAGCTGTTCCGTGTACATGGGTCATCAGCACCTCCTCTTTTTTTCAGCCTGAGGACTTTCTCTTGTCACTGGCACCCTCTATCTATGTCACACATGCCAGGCAGCCCTCTACTGATGATCAACAGGAGTGGGTGTATAAATACCCCAGCTCCCTTTCCCTTCAGGTGGAGTTTGACACTGGAGCCCAGAGTTTCCCCAGTGGACTGAGCTCTTGCTGCCCATGGTGGCAGCCAGCTTGATTGAGTGCTCTATTGGTTGCCTTCCCTTCCCTGTCTCACTTCCCCGCACTGTTCCCAGTGGCCCAAATAGGACGCAAATCCTCGTCTCAGAGTCTGCTTCTGGGGGAACCCAAATTAAAGCATCCTCCATTTCCCACCTCTTACCCCCAAGTAACATCCTAGTCTAGTCCCTACCCTCTCATCTCCATCCACAGACTCGTATGCCGACCCATCCTCTGCCCTCATTCCCCACTGCCATCCTTTATGTCATATCTCTATCCCACCTTCCAGTCTCCCACCTCCCTTTCAGCCAAAGGTCAGACTGACTTCCTAGGGGTGAAAGGGAAAGGTCTGCTGTAACATTTGCACCTTGAGGTCTGTTCAGGCACCAAGAACTGATGTGGTATCTGGTAAAATGGCATTCAACCCCAGGACCCATGGGTACCTGATGGGGGATAATTTGTTGAGGAGAGATCTGGTGTGGCACATTCCTGTGGTAGCCGATCTGGTGCGCAGGTGCCCAGCCTTGGTGGAGATGGATGCTGGGCCAGCAGAGGAGGATCTGGCATTGCTCGGAGACACAGTCACTGTCTGGGGCCCCGTGGTGGAGGGGCTGGTGCTGATGAAGCTGTGGTCTGTCGTGGAGGTCAGTCTGATGGTCTCTGAGGCAGTGGAGGGCAGGAGTCTGGCCATGGTGAGGAGTCCAGGTGTGAACGTCGTCACACTGGTGTTGAGAGGGGCATAAGAGCCTGACGTGGGGGCTTGGCCTGTTGTGACAACAATCCCACTCTTGAGCATGTTGGCCAGCTGTGTAGGAGGAGTGTTTCTCTGGGTTGTGGGTGCTGAGGGACCAGAGAGGGAGGAACGTTAGACTGAGCTGGGAGCCTCAGTTGCTAGGGGCAGATCCTGGAAGCCCACACACTCGTCTGGATGCTGGGGTGGGGCCCATCGTCATCTCCCCTCCTTGACCTTGGACCTAGGATTCTGCTCTGCTGAGGGACCAGGTGTGTGTTTGTTCAGAAGGTGATGTCAGAGAGAAGAAGTAGGCACAGTAAAGAAGGAAGAGACTTTCCCAGTTTATTTCGCCTCCCCTGTCAGGCCACCTGCGCCCAGAGAACACTCCCCTCCCCATCCCCATCTCTCACTACCAGATCCTCCTTATTCCTGTGGGTCAAAGAGATTTCTCTACTACGATGTTGAACAGAGACTTTTCCAGTTGCTCCATAATTGGGGATCCAGAGATGAGGACAATGAAGCATCTAAGACCCAAATTCCAAAGAACACTGCAAGCAGTGGAGTCAGACCCTTCCTTGGGGGCTTCCTAAGAGACACCCGAACCAGTCTTGATACCCTCATCCGTCAACTCAGCCCTTTCCATCCCATTTTCTAGAAGAAGGCTGGCGTTTGGAAAGCGGAAGAGGAGGGAGTGGTAGGAGTTGTGCAGTCTCAATGTAGGGGGCAGTGTGGGTCTCTCTCAGCGGGGAACAAAGAACATTGGAGCTGGAAGGGGGAGAGAGGGCTGCTGCAGGCTACTACATCCTGCGACGGGGCGTAGCAAGGATGCGCTCCTGAGAGCCAAATGGTCACCATGGAAGGTGCCCATCTTTCTGGGCAAGGGAACCCAGAACAAGTGGCATTGGTGAGGGCAGGGATAGGGGAAGAGGCTGACCTGGAGCCAGATCTTCCAATCATCCCACTCAGCAGCGGGGAGACTCCCAAAGGACCCTTCAAAGAACTCACACATGGGTGCCCCGGGAGAGCCAGCATTTGGACACCCACCTCATAGAGGATCTCAAAGATTGGGCAGAAGACGGGTGACATCCAACAGAGAGAGAACTCCTACAAGGGTCTGTGAAGTCACACAGCCATTTCCCTCTCTGTCATTCCGGCCTCAATACACCAGGCAGTTGGGAAGGGAAGGAGCAGGAGGAGGTGACTGAGAGGAGACCCCCTTCCCCAACTCCTGAGATGAAACAGGGGATGTTAGGCAGCAGCAACGCCCCCTTCCCCACTTCAGGTGCCTTGGGACATAAAACCTGGTCTTCAAGGGGGCATGGAAGAGCCTACATGGCTAGAAGATTCGAGTTCTTAATTGGGGTGAGGATTTTTTATTTCCTAATAGCTGAAAAGGTCTGCAAAGTTGGAATCTCCCCAAATTGTCATTAAAAGATGGAAAGTGAGATTTGACATAGTGCAATGAGGGGATATGATAAGAGAAATGTTTGTATCCCTACAAATGAAGACTTTAATAGACTGGTTTCACTACTTCCTGGGGTTCAAATCATAACTGAAGAGGGGAGGAAGGAGATTTGGCGACACATCTTAGAGACAGCAGTTGCCCTAGTTCAGACCCAACAGAAGAGGGGCACGTAGTCGGGTTAGGAGAACAGGGAAGGTTGGATCATAAACTTCAAGTCATCAGCTGCTTCTTTCAGGCTCACTCACTGGCTCCTTTCCCATCTTATAAACGTGGGAGGAGCTCGGGGCTCGCTTCTTGGCCCTCGTCTCTTCTTTTTCTACACTCAGCGGAGAGCTTTTATAGCTCCTTAATTTTTTAACAGCTTTATTGCGATGTTATTCGCGTTCCATATAACACACCCACCTATAGTGTCAAATTCAATGGTTTTTAGTAGACTCACAGAGTCGTGCAACCATCCCCACAGTCAATTTTAGAATTTTCATAATCTCAAAAAGAAACCCTTCACCCATTAGCTGTCACCCTTCTCTCCTCCTTCCCCCCAGCCCTAAGCAACCACTAATCTACTTTCTGTCTCTAGATTTCTCTAGTTCCCTAGACTTTAAACTATCTTTGCGGAGATACTTGCAAATACATCCCAGCTCTGACCTCTCACCTGAGCTCCAGGCTGATACATCAACTACCTGCTTCGTTGCTCCCCCTGGGGTTCTAGGGGGTATCTTAAACGTAACATGATAAAGTAAGCTCTGGATTTTTCTCCTCCAAACCAGCTCCTCTCTCAGATTTGCCCTACCCAATGGATGGTACCATCGTCCACCGAGCTGATGAAACGGAAAACCTTGGGGTCCTTCTTGATTCCTCCTTTCTGCTCGCCTCCCACATGAGCAAATCCTGTCTTACCTCCAAAACATACAGGGTGGGCAGGAAGTCTGAATAACATAGATTTGGCCCCTCCACTTCTCTCCACCTCCAGTGCCCACATCCTACTCCAAGACACCGTCATCTCCAGCCAGGATGCCCACAATGGTCTCTGTCCATGCTCTTACCCTTCCACAATCTATCCTCCATGCAGCAGCCATTATAATTTTAAGACAAGACACAACGCGCCCCTCTAAACTTTCCAACAGCTTCCTATTGTACTTAGAACAAAACTCAAACTCCTTATCATGGACTTTAGAGATGCTGTTTGACTCTCCGACCTCATCTCCCATCTCTCTGCCCCATGGTCAATAGGGACCAGCCACACAGGCCTTCTTTATACAGGTCCAGCTCCTTCTCACCTCGGGACCTTTGCACATGCAGTTCTCCCCACCTGGAATGTCCTTTGAAGCGTCCATATTTCAACATATTCCAGCTAGAAAGCTCTCGTCATGCGGGGCCCTGCTTGATGTCACCTGCTCAGGCAGGTCTTCTCTGATCTCGGTGCTTCAGCAGCTCCCCCACCACTGAGTTACTCTCTAGATCATCACATTGTTTTATTTTCTTAAGAACATTTATTGTTATCTGCAATTGTTTGTCTATTGCCTGTCACCTCCATAGGGCAGGACTGTGTCTGATTTGCTCACCACTATATCCTCAGAGCCTAGAATAGTGCCTGGCACATAATCAGGGCTCAGTGAATATGTATTGAACAGATGACTGAATAAGACAAAGCACAGAGAGTCCTGAGTTCGAATCTCATCTCTGTCACTTATTAGCTCTGTGACCCCGGGCAAGGTCAGAGCCACACAGGGCTTTTTAGATCTCATTTTCTTCATCTGTAAAATGGGGACAATAATGCCCATGAAGATGACTGTATAAAAACAGTGAAACCCCTACTGTGCACCATGCCTATTGATGGATTATTATTCTTATGATATCTGCATTAGTGGAGCGCAGGGCAGGGAGGATGCCCCCCGAACCCCCATCCCAGTGCCCCAGCAGTCCTGCTCACCTGGAGACACTTCCAGCTGGAAGCCCATCAGAGGATAGAGGGTCCCAGAGCTGTTGCGCATGCACCAGTACCGGCCCGAGTCCTGGCGCCTGAGGGCCGCCATGGTGATGTTGACCACATTGGCCTGGACATCGTCCTGCAGCAGGTAGCGCGGCCCCTGCGCCCAGACACGGGTGAACCCAGGCTCACACTTCTTCCTCCTGATTTTGCACCAAACCTTGCCCTCCACGCGGTTTTTGCGGCTCTTGTAGGAGCACTGTACAGACAGAGTCTCCCCTTCAAGGTGCCTCACTTTGGAGTACACGCTCTCGGCGGGGACACCTGGGGAGACACGACTTGTTGAGAGAGGAGCAGGGAGGCATCTTGACACTCGAAGCCCGTAGTGAAGGGAGAGGAGCTGGATATCACCCGACTGTCATGGGACTCACAGTTTGCGGGAGAAACACGGCCCCTCAGAGGGAGTGCCCCTAGCCTGTTGGAGGAGACACTAGCCCTGCCCTCTAGGAGTTTCCAGACTGACGGGGGAAGACAATAGTCCTGTGTCCTTGGGCTGGATGATGACGAAGTCACAGGGCTAGCCCTCAGGGAACTCCCAGTCTGATGGTGGAGACACAGGCATCACCCTCAGGGAGCACCTGGTCTAATGGAGGAATCTCAGCCCTTGCGCTCAGGGAGCTCCAAGCCCTGTCTTCAGGGTCTTGTGGGAAAGACCCAGGTCCTGCCCTCAATGAGACAGATGCACAGACACAAACACAGGTCCTTATGTTATGAAATGCCAGAGCACGACAACTTAGGTAGATAAGAAAATCCAGTATTTGAAAAAATTAAGGGTAGTTATTTATTTCACAAGTAGGTTCACTGTAGTCATCTTTTTTAACAGCAAGTTGTCTTAGTTCATTCTAGGTGATGTTTAATTTTAAAATATTCTTGGGGCCGGCCCAGTGGCATAGTGGTTAAGTTCACACACTCTGCTTCAGCGGCCCGGGGTTTGCAGGTTCGGATCCCAGGCGCAGACCTACATACCACTCCTCACGCCAAGCTGTGGCAGGCGTCGCACATATAAACTAGAAGAAGATGGGCACAGATGTTAGCTCAGAGCCAATCTTCCTCAGCAAAAAGAGGAGGATTAGCAACAGATGTTAGCTCAGGGCTAATCCTCCTCACCAAAAAAAAAAAATCTTAAAATATTCTTGATGGAAAAAAATTAGACTACTGGTGGTGAGCACAATGCAGTCTATAGAGAAATTGATAAATAATAATGTACACCCGAAATTACACAATGTTATAAACCTTTATGATTTCAATAAAATAATTGAAAAAAAGAAAAAGAATATTCTAGTTACATAAAACCCATAGATTAAATATGCCCAAACATGCATATAAAGTCCCAATGGAGTGCAAACCAAGAATTCTACAGTTATTCACTGTGCATCTATAATGTGCTACACTCCGTCTGGGAGTAAGATGCGGTCTGTGCACTTCATCATCCATGGTCTGGTGGGGAGAGGGACCACTAGGACTGGAGGGGTGAGTGGGGACAGGGAGAGGAAGAAAGGCGCCGTGGGGTCCCCCCACCCCTCTGCCCACACAAGCTCAGCGCTTTCTCCTCCAATACCCCAGAGCCTTCTGCAAACAGACACACACACACATGTTTCTCCCCAGTAGGACAGAGTAGAGAGCACACATTTTGCAGTCTAAATAAACATGGATTAAAACTCTGGTTCTACCACTGATTAACCATGTGAGCAGATCACTTATTGTCTCTGTTTTCTTTATCTGTCTCAGGTTGGCTGTAAGAGTTATGCCCCAGGACAGTGCCTTCACTGTAGTACCCGCTCAGTGCATGTTTCCTTTTCCCAAATGCAGGCAGCTCTAGATTTCTCCAGTGGACCCCAGAGCTCTGATAGCCAAGGGCCCAGTGCTCCAGACGTCTGCCTCAGTTTCCAACCCAGCTGCCACCATAGTTGAGGCTTGGAGCAAGGCAACACCCACTCTGAGCATCACTTTGTCCTATGAAAACTAAATAGAATGATCCAACTCAATTATCTGGCAGGTGGGAGGTTTGAGGGACCCCAGGATTGCTCAGCACAGGAGACACTCTTTGGCCTGGCAGAGGGCGGGGCCTCATGGGTGGGGCGACCTTGGAAACAGTCTCCAGGGTCCCATGTTCATTTGTGTCCACCTTCCACCCCTCTCACAGGCGGTGCCCAGAACTGAACAGGAAGTGGTAACTTGGTTGCCATGGCAGCGAGGGAGGCAGAGTTGGGTGAGGTCCCCCTCAAGAAGCTTTGGTAGCTGTGGGGTGGGAAAGCCCTTCAGGGATTGCTTCCCCTCAAGACATCAGCATTCAGAGAAAGAGAAAGTTGAAAGCACACACACATGATGCAATGATTCCTGTAAGAACCAAACAGGGCTTTCCTGACAGAGGCCGAGGGAAGAAGGCTCTCTGTGTGAGAAAACTGAGTGTCCCTGGCCAGAGGTCCTGAGGAAGCCTGGCAGATAAAAGGGCCCTTGCAGAGAGGGTCCAGAGCTTTATCTTAGTTTGTGAGGCCTCAGTTAGCTTTGCCTGGGGCCAGATGTTAGGATGGAGCTTCTCACTGGTCTCCGGTGAGGAGCTACTGGGTCAACCCCAACCTTCTCCTCCTGGTCCTCCTCCAGCCCCAAAAAACATTAAACAAAATCATTAGGCCAGGAAAAGGAGGGAGGGAGGGTCCAGGAAAAGGCCATTCCCTCCCCACTAAGCCAGCCCAACTCCCTCTCACCTGAGACGCGGCCCTGGAGCCACAGTAGCAGCAGCAGCAGCAGGAACGCGGGAGACATGACTCCATCCATTTGGGGACAGTCTCAAGCCCAGCAGGGGACCAGCACACCCCAGGGATTCAAGGTTAGGACCCCGGGCCTATGCAGGACCTGCCGCTTGGGTCTGCCAGGGAAGGACCTGGGTTCTAAAAGTGAAGCTGCCCATTTAGGGCGGTGAGGAAGTTGTGGAACCACTGTGACCAGCAGACCGCAGGGGCCCGCAGAGCCTGTGAGAGGGCGGTGCTGGCTGCTGTTTCCGCCCTCTTCCTCGAAACTTCAGGCAGGTGTGGCTGCTCCACCCAGTCTGGGGCCCCCCAGCCCAGGGAGGGCTCATGGGGTCAGAAGGCTCCCCACCCTCTCCGGATTCCTTCCTGGAAACTGGTCCAGTAGGGGTGCCTCCTAGTCTGAGGCAGAGGATTCATCTAGGGAGCTGGTGTGAGGTTTCTAGGACTGCAGGTATAGACTTTTCTGGAATCCTCTGGGCTCAGAGACCCCAGGGGTAGGGGCTATGGGGCTGGGACGAGGCATCTTGGACCCTACATTTTTCACAAACACACATGCACAAGGAGGTTTTTATAAACTCACATTCATTCATTCATCCCTCACAGAATGCCTTCACTCTGGTGCCTTCCCTCTCTCTCTCCCAGGCTCCTGGCTGCTCAGAACAGTCACTCACACTCACTTGCAAATAACCTCTCACATGTTCACATGTAATCTTATTTTTGTCGCAGTTAGAGTGATGGGGGGAAAAAGATGCAAATTGTAAGACTCAGAGCATTAAGTTTGTGTTTGGGGAGGAGCTCCTGTGAGTGCTCTCTCTCTCTCTCTCTTTCACACACACACACACACACACACACACACACACACACACACACGAGCTGCCTCTTCTTTTTGCTACTCGCCTGTGTCCTTATCTTTAGCCCTCTCTCCGCCTCTCCTACCGTCTTCTCTACTCACCCACCAGCTCTCTAGACTTCCGCTCCCCCTAGCAAGCTTCCTAAAGCCACACCAATGCTTCCCCTCCCCCACCTCTTCTCCAGAAACCACGCCCCCAGCCCCTTGTCCCCTAGATCTGGCCCCCAGCCAGCACACAGGCATGCCCACTCGACTTCCTCTCAATGAACCCTATCTTCCCTATACAGCCGCCCAGCTCCGGCTGAAATGACCCAGCATTTGGCCAAGACCCCACCCTTCGCTTAGTCCCCAGGGCCGAGAATCAGGATAGACTTCTGACATCCGGGAGCTGTGTCCTCTGCTCCGTTGGGATGTAGGGAGCCAGGTGGACCCCCATGACTGTGTGTGTCCCCCCTGCTCGTCTGTGCCAACTTTCTTCTCCTTGGATGGGCCTCAGAGTATAAATGTCCTCCAGTTTGCATGGCCACCGTCTTAAACTGAGCTTGAACCCCCAAATGCCAAACCAAGGAAGTTCTGTCTTTGCTGAGCCCCAACTTTTATAGTCTCTCAACTCATTTGTTCATTCATTCACTCATTTTTTTCTTGTTACAATCTTAGGTGCCATGCGTGGCGCTAGGCATTGGGAGTACACGAATGAGGTACAGTTGTCCCTTCAGACCTCTCGGCTCCCAGGAGACACATTACGCATTCTGTATTCACTCTTCCTTTTCAATACCTCTCCCCAGTCCTCAGATCCCTGAGTTCAGAGGCTGTTTCCCCTCCCAACACGTATGGTATCTTCCCTCCTTCTTTTGCTCCATCAGAACAGCAAATGGCTTCGGGAGAGGAGGATCTCATTGATCTCTTGTGGGGACTTCATGTAGCTGGAATCAATGCTTCTGTTAGACCCCTCCAGCGTGCCCGGCCCTGAGTGAGGCTCTGTGAGAGGTGCCATCACTGGGACAGCTGTGTGGATAAGAGCCCAAACGCTCTCATTCCACTGATAGAGGAGGTATAAACTGGACTCGATGTTTCCTGAGGGAAATTTGGAAGGATTTATCAAAATCTCTAAAACTGTATACAGTAGGCTTTAATGGACAAAATAATTTAACACAGCACTATATTTTTTTGTTTCTTTATATTCATTTTTCCCATTAAAAAATTAAAGTCTGATTTACATAGAGTAAAATTCACCCTTTTCAATGGAAAGTCCTGGGAGTTTGACAAACCCATAGTTGCTAGTAACCACCACCATAATCAAGATATAGAAGCATTCCATTACCCCCTAGAAGTTTCCCTGTGCCCCTTTGTGGTCATCCTCTCCCGCTCCCCCTCAGTTCCCGGCAAACGCTGTTCTGGTTCTTTTCCCTCTATAGGTTTGCCCTTTCCAGTTAAAAACATGGAATAGTACCATATTTAGCATATTAAGTTGCCTTCTTTCACTTAGTATAATGCATTTGAGATGCTGTGTGTTGAGTGTATCAGTACTCTGTTCCTTTTATTGCTAAGTAGGATCCCACTGTGTGGATGTGCCACAATTGTTTATCCATATCCCAGCTGAGCGACATTCGAGTTGGTCTCCAGTTTGGGGTTATTCCAAATAAAACTACTACAAGTATGTGTACACAGGTTTTTGTGTGAACATAGGTTCACATTTCACAGGAGTAAATACCTAGAGTGGGATTGCTGGGTTGTATGGTAAGGTGGTGTTTAATTTTAAAGAAACTGACAAATTGTTTTCCAAAGTGGCTGCACCATTTTGCATTTCTACCTGCAATGTTCCAGGTGCTCCCTGTCCTTGCTAGCATTTTGATATTGCCAGGTGTTATGTTTTTTCCCTCATTCTAATAGGGTGTAGTAGTATTCGCTGTGGTTTTATTTTGCATTTCTCTAATGACTAATGATATTGAGCACCTTTAATTCTGCTTATTTGCCATCAATATATCTTCTTTGAGATAGTGTCTGTTCAAATCTTTTCCTCATTTTTTATTTGTTTTCTTCTTATTGAAGTTTGAGAGCTCTTTATATATTCTGATATAAATCCTTAATCAAATGTGTGCTTTGCAAACATTTTTCCCAGTCTGTGGTTTGCCTTTTTAATTTTCTTATTGGTATCTTTCAGGTGCAAAAGTTTTTAATTTTGATGGAGTCTAATATATTGTGTTTTATGAATCATATTTTTTGTGTCATATCTAAGACATCTTTGCTTAACTCAAGGTCATAAAGATTTTCTAACAGCCTTACTGAGATATAATTCACATAATATAAAACTGACCCACTTAAAGTGTACAATTCAGTGATTTTTAGTATATTCACTGAGTTGTACAACCATCATCGAAATCTAATTTTAGAACATTTTCATTACTCCAGAATGAAATCGCATACCCATTAGCAGTCACACCCTGTATTAGTTTACTATCACTGCGAACTTGGCAGCTTAAAACAACAGAAATTTATTTTCTCACATTTCTGGAGGCCAGAAATCCTAAATCAGTATCACTGGACCAAGATCTAGGTACTGGCAAGTCTTTGGTCTCTCCAGAGACTCTAGGGAAGAATCCATCCCTTGCCTCTTCCAGCTTAAGGGGGGGTGCCAACATTCCTTGGCTTGTGACTGTGTTACTCCAATCTTCAAGGGCAGCATCTTCAAATCTCTCTCTGCTCCATCTTCAAATCACCTTCTCTGTGTGTGTCCCTCTTCCTTCCTCTTATAAAGATACATGTAATTGCATTTAGTGTCCAGCCACATAATCCAGGATAATTTCTCCATCTCAAAATCCTTAACTTCATCACATCTGCAAAGACTCTTTTTTTGCCATATGAGGTAACATTCCCAGATTCCAGAGATTAGGACATAGATATCTTTTGGGAGGCCATTTTTCAGCTTATCACACTCCCATTCCTGCCTCTCCTCCCACTGCAGCCCCAGGCAACCACTAATCTACTGTCTATCTTTATAGATTTGCCTATTCTGGACATTTCAGAAAAACAGAATCATACAATATATGATCCTCTGTGACTGGCTCCTTTCATTTATCATAGTGCTTTCAAGGTTCATCCATGTTACAGGAGTACTTAATTCCTTTAAATAGCTGAATAATATTCCATTGTATGGATATACATTTTTTTAATCCATTCATTGGTCAATGGACATTTTATTTGTTTCCATCGTTTGGCTATTATGAACAATGCTACTATGAACATTTGTGTACAGGTTTTTGTGTGGACATATGTTTTTATTTCTCTTGGGTATATAATAAGGAGTAGAATTGCTGGATCATATGGCAATTCTATACTTAGGATTTTGAATAACTGCCAATAGTTTTCCAACATGGCTGCACCATTTGACACACTCATCACCAATGTATGAGAGTTCTAATTTCTCTACAATCTCTCCAACACTTATTACTTGTCTGTCTTTTTGATTATAGTGATCTTAGTGGGTGTGAAGTATTATCTCTTTGTGGGTTTGATATGTATTTACCTAATAAGTGATGATGTTGGGCATCTTTTTGTGTGCTTATTGGCCATTTGTGTATCTTCTTTGGATAAATGTTTATTCAAATCCTTTGCCCAATTTTTGTTTGGGTTATTTGTCTTTTTAGCACTTGGAAAATGCATCACTTCATCCTGGCATCCGTGGTTTCATTTGAGAAATTATCTGTAATTTGAATTGGTGTTCCTTTATAGGTAATGCATCATTTCTGTCTGGCTATTTTTAAGATTTTTTTTTGCCTTTAGTTTTTAGAAGTTTTTTTATGATTTGTCTTCATGTATGTTTCTTTGGGTTTATTCTTATTTGGAGCTCACTCAGCTTCCTGGATGTGTAGGTTTATGTCTTTTGCCAAATTTGGGGAATTTTAAGCCATTGTTTGTTCAAAAACCTTTTCAGTCCCACACTCTTTCTCCTCTCCTTCTGGGACTCTGATGATGTAAATGTTAGCTCTTTTATTATTGTGCCACAGATCACTGAGGCTCTGCTAAATTTTTTCAGTCTATTTTCTCTCTGTTGCCCAGATTGAATAAATTCTATTGATCTGTCTTCAAGTTTACTAACTCTATCCTGTCATCTCCACTCTACTATGGAATCCAGCCAGTGAGCTTTTTAGTTTGGTTATTGTATTTTTAATTCCAAAATTTCC